ACCTCCAGCAAAAGAGAGGCTATGTCTCCCCATGCAGCTGATTTATTGTCAGTTAGGAAATCTTCCTCAGGGGACTTCTACATCTATCAGTGGCCAGAATTGGGTCATATGCCTCTTCTAAGCTAATCGCTGGCAATGGAATGGTATTGACTAACTTAGACAAGTCAGAATTTACTAGACTCACATGGGGGAGGAGTGGACACGAACAAAACCCAGGCTTTGCTTGCAGGAAAATGACTTTGGGTTAAGCAGCCAATTGGCTCTACTACACAATGTTTCTTCATTTTGCACACTTGAGTGTGCGAGATGAAAAGTCAAGGTCTTAATTTTATCAATCTCCCTTCACCAATTCATTCACTCATTCATTTATCAAATATTTGTTGAGTGCCTACTACATGTCAGATAGTGTGTTGGGAGGTATGTAAACAGTTGTAAACAAGATAAGAAAGACTGTCTTATGGTAAATGTATTTCAGCATGTGTTTTTGACAGAATAGCACCAAATATTTTTTAAAGGGGAAAAAAAGTGGTCCATGTGGGCAGGAAATAGACATATTCATGGGCTACAAATGAGAAGTGGGTTCTAGCTCCTGGCACAAGTTTCAGAGGGAAAGCTACCAGCCCTTCCCAGAAGGAGCAAGACAGATGTGAATGAGTTCAACTTGTTAGAAGGAAATATAGCAAAAATCTAGCAAAACTTGTAAATGCAAATGGCCTGCCAGCCAGGATATTTGCCTCTAAGAATAATTCCCACAGACATAGTCACACCTGCACACAAATACATTTGCACAATGATATTATTTGCAGTATAAATGGTCATGGCAAGAATGGAACTAATCCAAATGTCCATCAAAAGGAGATGGGTTAAATAAATTGAGAATGCCCATATAATGGAATACTCTACAGTCGTTAAAATAGATGAGCCAGATCTGCATGTGCTGATATGAAACCATCTCCAAGCTCTATTAAGTGCAAAAAGTAAGACGTAGAGAACTTGTGTTACCATGCGTGCTTCTGTGATCACAAACTACTCTGGAAGGATGAGAAAGATACTGCCTCTGGGAAACGGAGATGGAGGACTGGGGACAGGGGTGGAAGAAAAAGTTATTTTCACCCTTTTGTACCATATAGACTATTTTTTACCATGTACCAATATTGCCTATGAAGATTTTTGTGTGTGTGTGAGGAAGATTAGCCCTGAGCTAACATTCGATGCCAATTCTCTTTTTTCTGAGGAAGACTGGCCCTGGGCTAACATCCGTGCTCATCTTCCTCTACTTTATATGGGACGCCGCCACAGTATGGCTTGACAAACGGTGCATCGGTGCGCGCCCCGGATCCAAACCCGCGAACCCCGGGCCACCGAAGCGGAGTGCGCGCACTTAACCACTACGCCACTAGGTCAGCCCATATGAAGATATTCTTAATCAGGCAAGCCAGAGCTTCAGCCCAGTCCTGGAAGAAGCACACGATAGAATTGAGCCTGGATAAAGGACCAATGACAGACAATACCCCCGCTGCAAGTCAAGATCTGTGCAGGCCTAAGGTGGACCCAAGATACAGGTCAGGTGGTCCCACCCAGGGGGAGAAGCAAAAATGCCAAGGCTAGGCCACCCATGGGTGTTCACAGACTGGAGTGAGCTCCCTGTCCTTGGGAGAAGAGGGATTGGGGCGAGGGCAGTGGGGAGACCAATCTGGGGATGAGATGGCAAAGGGAACACTAAATCAAACGTGTTCTAGAGCCGTGGGGGCCTGACGGAGAGGACAGCACCTGTAAAAATGTCTCAAAGGCACGTTTTCAGCCCAGAGCTTCTGAGGAGCTTTAACCCCTGAGTTCTGAAGCAAGAGCTTCCAATTTCCTGGCCCTGATCTCAAGTGTCTGCCAAGGGAGAAGTGAGAGTCACAACTGGGCGTTTTTCTCTACTACAGTTCCATGTTTCCAGCAAATGTGGTATCTCAGGAGGCCAGCTCAGCGGATGGCCCCTGACACAGACGACCTTACTGCCCTGGCTCAGCAGGTACCAGGCACTCAGTGCACTTCCAAACGTTATCTTATTTGATCCCCACAGGAACCCCGCAAGGTCGGTAGTAGTATGCCCATTTGGGGTGTGGGATACAGGCTCATGGAAGAAAAGTCACACAAGATCTTGACTCAAATTTCAGCATCACCATGACTTCGACTGCCATCCTCACTCCTTACAGCTGATGGAACACTGTTGTGGGTTGAATTCTGTCCCCTTCAAATTCATATGTTGAAGTCCTAGTCCCCCATACCTCAGAATGTGACTTTATTTGGAAATAGGGTCAATGCAGACATAATTAGATAAAAAAGGTCATTAGGGTTACCGCTAATCCAATATGACTGAATTCCTTATAAAAAGGGGAAATTTGGAGTCAGACATGAACAAAGGGAGAACGCCATGTGAAGACAAATGCAGAATTCGGGGTGGTGCGTTTACTAGCCAAAGAATGCCATAGATGGCCCACAAACCACCAGAAGGAGGGGAGAGGACTGTACCAGATTCTCCCTCACAGCCCTGAGAAGGAGCCACTGCCGCCAACACCTCAGTCTCAGACGTCTAGCCTCTGGAACTGCGAGAAAATAAACTTTTGTTATTTAAGCCACCCAGCTTGTGGTACCCTCTTACGGCAGCCCTAGCAAACTAATTCAGGCAGTATGTGCTGTCCCCAAAATCATTGTGGAGTCCAACACTGTGGGCATCTTTAATGCAGGCCTTCATCCTCCAACTGCCGCTGGACCTCTGGGTAGAACCCAAACCAACCTGGTCACTCTCCTGATTCAACCATTTCCTGGGTCTTGTAAGGAAAGACTCAGCTATCCCTTCCCCACACCATCTTATGAGAGAGGGGAAAGGAGTCTTGACTGGTTCCCCTAAACAAAGCCAAGGCAGAAGGGCCCCCAGTAGAACCGCTCCTAGAATGTAGGAACTCTGGGGCCAGCCCCATGGCGTAGCGGTTAAGTGCGTGCGATCTACTGCTGGCGGCCCAGGTTCGGATCTCAGGCGCACACCGACGCACCGCTTATCAGGCTGTGCTGAGGCCGCGTCCCACATAAAGTGGAGGAAGATGGGCACGGATGTTAGCCCAGGGCCAGTCTTCCTCAGCAAAAAAAAAAGAGGAGGATTGGCATGGATGTTAGCTCAGGGCTGATCTTCCTCACAAAAAAAAAAAGAAATGTAGGAACTCTGCAACAAGCAGAGACTGACATCCCATTTCCTGGTTGGCTATCAGCTGAGTCCAGGGCTTGCTGGAAAAGAACATTGATGAGGGACACAATTGTGCTATGGGCAGTCGAAGAAGGGACAAGGACCACCTCCCTGACATCCCATCTTCTAGAGGGAAGGAAAACTAGACTCAGTTATGGCCACAGGCCTAGAGTCGAGGACATGAAATTGGGGCTAGAGGATGATTCTCCCAAGGGCCGATCCTTGCCTAGCGTAGCTGCTTGGAATTGAGTCCCTCATTGACAGGGATTATGGGGACCTCTGTCTACCCACCCTGAGCTGACAGACATCAAACTCGGTCAGTGGTGATGACCCTCAACAAGGGTCACTTCATCACCACTGAGATGAACAAAGAGGACTTCCAACTCACCCAGGTGGCCTCCCCTCCCTCTCCCTCACAGGAACAGAGCGGGGAAGAGGGAGGGGTACGTGAAAGAGAAGACCACCTCTACGTGCACATGTACCCACACACACACACATGTGCACACACACACCCGTGCACACACATACACGGGCTTGCTTGCTCCAAGCCATGAGAGCCTAAGGAAGCCTCCATGGGGGTAGAGGGAAAACATTAGGTAGAAGATGAGATTGAGGTTCTACACGGACAGGACCAAGTCTTAGATTAAACCAAACAGGACTGAAATGTTTGAATCGGGACTGAGATGTCATGAAGGGAGTCCCTCTCCAGGGAAAAAGAATTTAACACAGCATAAGAGTATCCATTACTGGAAAATTAAAACTATCCCATGTTCATACTTCAACAAGGACGGGTTAACAAAGCCCTTCAAGAGGAGATTCCTGCCCGTGTGGTGCCTCCTCTTCCGCCACTCTCTCCTCCATCTTCACCCCTCACCCTGTACTCTCCCACAATTCTTTGTGCCTTCTGGAATGTGCAGTGCTCTCTCAGGCTTCCATGACTTAGTTTGTGCTGTTCTCTCTACATAGCATAACTTCCCTATGTCTGTTTGCCAAACTCCTACACATACTTCAAAACCAAGGTCTAGCACCTCCATTGTCTTAATTGCTCCCTTTCTGTGCTCCCATAGCCCCTAGAACATAAGCTGTCAAAGTATCTTCTGTCTCCTTGCACTTATCCCAGGAGAATTTTATGTCGATTTGACGGGGAGGAGAGAGGAACTGGGAAGATGCAAAAGAGGGATGAGAGAGATTTTTAACTGTACATCTTTTTATTATTGATCGATGTTTGAACTATGTGAACATATTTCCTATTTGAAGAAAATTAAAAATACAATACAAATAAAATAAAAAGATTGGTCTAGCTATTGTGTGGAATAATACCCAGCAATAAAAAGGAATGAATTGTTGATACACAAAACATGGGTTAGTCTCAAGAACATAATGCGGCATGAAAGAAGCCAGACAGAAAAGAACACGCTGGATGATTCCATTTACATGAAGTTCTAGAACAGGCAAAATGAATCCATGGTAAGAAAAAGCAGATCAGTGGTTTTCTGGGATAGGAGATGGGGAAGGAGATTGGGAAGAGGCATGAGAGAACTTCTTGGGGTGATGGAAATGTTTTTTATCTTGATTACGATGTGCTACATGGGTGTATACATGTGTAAAGGTTCATTGAACTGTACACTTAAAATGTGTGAATTTTATTGCATATAAATTATACGTTAATATAGTTGATTAACTTTATTAAGAGAACGTCAGCAAGAGAAAATCTGAAAGCGTCTGGAGCCTAGAGCTGCGGAATCCACTCGTCGTGTTTGTGGCCTGACCCGAGATGGTCCTGCACGATGTAAGTGGAGGACAGCGGATATCAGCAGAGCCAGAGCGCAGGCTCGGGCAGGCTGGGGCTGTGGAAGGTCTGGTTGGAGAGGTTTGTGGCAGCCAACTTGTGACAGCCTTCGCTGCCGGGCTGGGTGCTGAGATTTCAGTCTGTAGATAACAGGGGATGAACGGAGGGTGTTCGGCTAGAGAACGGTGTTGCACGGAGGCTCCTTGGGCAGCAGTGCTTGGAAGAAGAGGTTGGAGGTTGTGGCACCACTTCCGCTTCTCTCAGGCCAGAAATAAACCTCAAACGACTTCACAAGCAACCTTCTCCCTGTCTCAAGTTGCTGGAAATTGGGCTGCCCCAAAGCCTTGAATCTTCCCCGCCCTCCCTCCCAGCTGGCTCAGCTCCTCATCTGGCCCCTGGATTTATAAGCATCTCAGCCTCTGCTGTCATCTTCAGTAAGGGAGGCTCCTACAAAGAGACTGACCAACCTCTGCCCAGGAAGGAGCTGAGGACGGGATGATGGCCAGACCATAATGTGTGGTAGTGGTCCTACTGCTGCTGGCAGAGGTCTCCAGGTTTTGAGAAGGGGCATCTAATCCTGGGTTCGTGGCCAGGATCACCAGAAAAGGCCTGAAATATGGTAAGGGGGTTTGGTCATTCCTCTGGTGCCCACTGGTGCCCACCAGAGTGGTGTGGTAACCAGCATTAGGAATCACAGGCTGGGGTTCTGCCACTGCCTGGATTAGAAGCCTTGGCTATGTCACCCTCTGGGCTCCAGTTTCCTCATCTTGAATATCAGAGGCTTAAGAGAGGACTAGATTGGCATTTTTCCGAGGGTGGTCTGTGGACCACCCACATGAGAATGGCTGGGACAAACAAATACAGATTCTAGAGATCCATCCAAGATTGACTGCCGTTGGGCCTGGGAATCTGCATTGTTAACATAACTGCTCAAGACAGTGGAAACCCTAAGGTTTGACCACACTGCAGGAAATGATTCCTCAAAAGCCCCACTGTATTCCATCACTGTTTCCACGATCTTGTGGAATGAATAAATAACAATGATTGTCATTTACCTGACATTTTGAGTTAATGATATAATTCAATTCCAGGCTCAGGTTGGTATCATTACTATTATTACCATTTTACAGATGAGGGAACTGAGGCTCAAGGAATTTAAGTGACTAGCTTGGGATTACATCAATACAAGTGGCAAATCCTGCCTTCAATCTCAGCTCATGTTATTCAAAAGCCCAGCTACTCAACTGTTATGTTTAGCTACCTTCCATTCAATGAGCTAACTCCCTCTATTCGCCGGCAGCCCAAGAATGTGTAGTAGCCACCCTGCAGAAGGAGCTGTCCACCATCGAGTTCACTGATATCCCAGGAAGCTTCCAAGTCGGTTGGTTTGGAAGAGTGAGCTGAGTCTAACAGATGAGGTCTCCGTTCTACACCACAGGGGCAGCAGAGGAGGAAGAATGGGGGGGCCTAGGGTCATGGGGGAGGGCAATAAACATGGGATCCTCACTTGGACTAATGGCAGAGGGATCATGACCAGCTCTTGTGGGGCTTCTGGAAGGTTCTATGTGTTTCTTGAATCATCAGGATGGGAGAGAGACACTTAGAAACCATTTACCAGCCCCTATGTCAGTCCTGCAGAGACTATCCCTGGATTTTTGCTCTGCCAAGGTCTCCTGGCTACTCTCTTGATTGCCCAGATTAGGGACCTGCTTGAGATATACCAACCATCCCTCCAGAGCCTGTTAAGGGTCTGTAATCAAGGACTTTAAATCTTTCTGGAACCTATTCGCATTTCATTTTCAGACTGCCTCTTGAGGATAGCATCCACACATGTCCCCAGTGAGGAATAAAGCAAGGAGCTTCTAGTCCCCGGCGACAAGCCCTGCTTCCTCATCTCCCTCCCCGTGAGACTTGACTGATCTCAATGTCCCTCTAGCTTGCACACACTCAATCTTGAAGCCCTCACCCTGTGCTCTTTTTTCATCCATTCCTTGGGTGCGTGGATTTTCCTTCCAGCCTCCTCAGTGTCCAGAACATGTCCTTGGGGTGCATTTATCTACCACTGATAGAAAAGGCTGCTTCTTGGAATCCTCCCTAATACTCAGGCAATTTCCTGGAGGCAGTGGGCAAAGAGGAGCTATTTTAAATTTGCACACACACAGACACAAAATATCCAGGCTATGCCACTTAGAGGGCAATGCCCCTTCCCACAGCCCTAGAGCACCCCTTGCACCTGGTGTTCACAGTAGGTTACTGTGGTCTGTTAACACATCCAGATCTGCCACCAACTGTGAATTCTTCAAGAGCAGGGACAGAGTTTTGAATCTCTGTGGCCTCCGTGCCTGGAACCAGGTCTGACAGAGCAGGATCTCAGTGGATGTTTGTTGAGTGAAGTAATGAGTGTGGATCTGACACCACAAACTCAAATGGCCACAGGGGAGTGAGTAATGTAGATGAGTGTACCAGGCAGGGTGACTATATCCAACAGGGACCATCCAGGAAAGCAGAACCCACACCAGGAATGTCAACGGAGGGAATTTAATACAGGGAATTTGCTTCAAACATGTCAGAAGAGCTGAAAAGCCAAACAGGGAATAGTGAAGCAACCCAGACATTAGTAACAACAAAAAGTTGCTAACATCCCTAGAGCTGGAGAGGTAAAAAGAGGAGATATCAACAGAGCACAGGAGCTATGGCCTCTAGGTGGCAGCTAGGATCATGAAGGGAGGGGTTGTCTAGCAGGAGCTGGCCCCAATGTGGAAATGGAACCACTGCCAAAGACACAACGCAAGGCAGAGAGAGAAGAAGAAATACCCTGGCTTCTCCCCTTTTCCCATTCACTCACCTCCCCCCACTGCTTCCTATTTGCCAATCCTAACTAGAAGCCAGTTGCAAAGGATCCTGGGAAATGTTTGCACAGGTCAGTCCCATCCAATATAGGTCAGAGCAAGGGAAGGACGGGGAATGGACCTGAGAGCAAACAGGCAAATGACCAGTGCGATGTTTACCTGGAGGGCACCTGCCCCATATAAAGGGGGCAGCTGCTGCCCACCTGCAGTTGACTGACGCTGCAAGGGAATATGAGTATTGTCTTTTGATTTTTTTCGAGAGAAACCAGAAATCTAGTTTTTTTTTCCTTCACATTTTTTAGTGTGAAATTTCTCAATTTTAAAATGTTGGCAACTGATTCAAATTTTTTAAAAGGCTATTAGAAAAGAAAAGCAGGAGCCAGCCCGGTGGCACAAGCAGTTAAGTGCACGCACTCTGCTGTGGAGGCCCAGGGTTCGCCAGTTCGGATCCCGGGGGCGCACCAATGCACCGCTTGTCAAGCCATGCTGCGGTGGCGTCCCATGTAAAGTGGAGGAAGATAGGCACAGATGTTAGCCCAGGGCCAGTCTTCCTCAGCAAAAAAAAAATAGAAAGGAGGATTGGCAGATGTTAGCTCAGGGCTGATATTCCTCACACACACAAAAAAAGAACAGCATGTCTACAGTCTATCATAAATATGGCCCACAGGTCACCAGCAGGTGGTCTCAGATCTAAACTGTGAGCCCTTGTTTGTATTTGAAGTGTGGGGAGGACAGAGGGGACACTGTTTCCTGGAAGAGCCCGGGCCCCAGCTGTGGAGACAGGATACAGTGCAAAGCCAGCTCACAGGGTCCCCGCGGCGGTGAAGGTCGAGTGAGCAGGCTAGACAGGAGCAGCTACCGGGGGTAGGGGGGTGTCAAAGGAGAGAGGAAGATCTTCGGTCTTGGAAGGTGGGAAAGGCTTCCTGGAGGATCCTGAGCAGACCTTGAAGGATGTGAATGAGATGATTTGCTTGTCCTTTGTGGTTTAGGTCTATACATTTGCAAGAGAGTGTGAGAGGCGGGAGGGGACTCTGGGCACTCATTCAGAGGACTGATGTGCTCCTAGTTTTTCTGGGTCTGATAGTCTGCCTTCCTTCCCTAGCCTGATGGTCCGTCAGTTGAAGCTCAGGAACTCGATCTGAGTCTACGCCCAGGGCAGGGTGTCCCAGCCTCCCTGTCCAATAACGACATGTCTATCAGCGGGAACTGGAAGGTGACAACGGCTTTCATGTGAGTCACACTTAGCTTAGAATGTCTCTCAGCTTTGGGCAAGCGCATGTCCTCCCACCCTGGACTTCCATTTCTGGATTCTTAAACATCCAGTCTATAATGGACCCAGATCTGACTATCCCTAAGCCTCAGTTTTATTATCCATAAAAGGGGGTTAATAACAACCCACCTCATAGACGCAGTTGTGGATTAAATAAAATAACAGATGTAAGGCATTTAGCAGTGTGCCTGGCACATAGCAAATCCTCAATACACACTGGCTATTTTAGTTAATGGTTAGTTGAGGCTCAGACAGGATACCCAGCTGGTCAGTGGGGAACCGGAAGACAAATCTGGGTCTGTGTTCTTCTTGCTCCTCTTCCTGGAGGTAATTGGTTGTACACCATTTGCTTCTCATTTCTCCCAACCAGCATCCTAAATGGAACTTTTGATCTGAGTGTGGATGGTGTTTCCATCTCAGTTTCTCTGAACTTGGGCAAGGACCAGTCTGGACGACCCACTGCCTCTGTGGCCCACTGCGACAACTCATTTGGCCACATCAGCATTAACATTTCCGGACCCCGAAGGTAAGTGACCCCAGACACTCGCTGGAGATTGTCAGAGCTGCCTGGGCAACCAGATCACCCAGGGGATGTCCCTGACGGGGCATGAGAGCAAGATTTACAATCCATCAAGATCAGAGGTCAGTGAACCAAGGCCTGTGGGCCAAATGCAGTCTCCCACCTGTTCCTATAAATAAAGTCTTGTTGGAACACAGCCACGCTCATTTGTTTACCTTTTGTCTCTGGCTGCTCTAGTACCACAACAGCGTTGTTGAGTCGCTGCGACAGAGACACAGGACATGCAATGCCAAAATTATTTACTATCTGGATCTTTAAGAAAAAGTTTCCTGACTCCTGGGCAAGATTGTCTTTAACGGCAACCCAGCCTACCAAAGTGACTTGCCTGGAGGGGATGCTTGGGGAATCTCGAATGCATGATGGCAATCTCCAGGGTGGATGGCAGTCTCCAGGGTGGATGGCAGTCTCTACGGGTTTACCTAGCCCTTGGAGCAGGGACAGTTTCTTCAAAGGAAGGCTATCTGAAACGAGCCTTGAATTCTAACCAAAGGGGAGGGGGGTAGAGCTTTTCTGGCAAAAGGAGAAGCATGTGCAAAGATCCTGAGGCATGAAAAAGCCTGTGCTTTCCAGGAAGTAAAAAAAGGTCAGTGCACTTGGAGGGAAAGTAAGTAATTAGAAGAACTGAAGGGAGTAGGCAGGAGCCAAACTCTAGTCTCTATCCTAAAGTTAGGCAGTGAGAAGCCATCGGAGGATTTTAAGAAGGGCAGTGATACAATCAGATTTGCTTTTTTGAAAGCTCACTTCCTTTAGAAGAGATTAGACAGGGCAGAGGGAGACCAGAGAGGAGGCAGAGGCAGACGTCCAGACGAGAGCCAATGATGCCCAGGCAGGGGATGGCAGTGGAGGCAGGGGAAAGAGCGCTTTTAGGCATATTTAGGCAGCAGGATTGAATTTGGGCAACAGCTCCGGGATGACTTTATGTGGTCTGCGACCCACGGAATGTCGCCTACTGCTTCCATCTTTTATACTTTGACTTGTTGTTGGAGGAGTACCCATAGATGTCAGAGGGGGCAGACTTTTCTGGAAGCAACATCCCAACCACAGCTGTCGGGGACCCCGGCCATGGTCTCTATGGCCAGGGTCCCTCAGGCCCATCCAGCGGCCAAGGTTAAGTGAGGCATGAGTCCCAGGCTTGCTCAAGGGACAGAGCCCCAGAAAGTTCAGGAAGCTTTCTGTAGAACCCCAGGAAGCACTTGTGTCTGATGTTCCCGCACGAATTTATAAGACACAGACATTTCCAATATGCATCACTAATCATTCAATTAGCAAGAATCGAATGGCAAAGAAAATTTGATGGGAGAAAGAATTTTACCAGATGTAATCCCACTAACTTAGTTCACTTATTTCCCACCACCTCTCACCCTCACCCCCAGGGGAGCACATATGTGGAACGCCCTGTTCTGGGCCACGTTCTCATGGAGCGGGGTCTGAGGTTGGCAGAGGCTCTCAGCGGGCAGCTCCACCCGAAGTGGGTTAGACTCACATCGTGAGCTCTGTGAGGTGATTCACCACTGGCCCCTCAGCACCTAACTCAGTGCTTGGCGTGTAGGAGGGGCTCAGTAAACGTCTGTCGAATGAGTGAGTGAGTGAGTGAATGACTAATTGCTAAGCTGCCAGGTAAGTTATTTGGTGGATTTTGGAGGGCATAAAGAATAGGCCTTTATTCCCCTTCTTATACCTTAAAGAAATTTAAATGTTTTTGAGTGGGTAATTCGTCTGCATAGTTCAAAATTCAAAAAATGCAAAAGGAAACAGAGTGAAAAAAATCTCTCTCCACTCTGGTCCCCCCAGCCAGTTTTCCTTGCCAGAAGCAACCATTGTTAAGTGCCTTACGTATCATTCCTGAGAAAGTCTATGCCCGCACACTTGGATATTTTTCTCTTTTATTTTTTACACAAGTGGTAGCGTGCTATATACAGTATTATTTCCCTAGCTATTCTCACTTAACAATGTATTTATAAGCCCTTCCACATCAGAACACAAGAGTTTCCTTTTCAAAGGACTCCATTATATGAAGACACTAAAATATATATAATTAGTCTGCTATTGGTAGACTTTTAGTTTGGGGGCTTTTCTTCCAGTCTTTCGCTGCTACAAACGATGCTACGAAGGATAACCTTGTGCATAACAGCATTTTGCACCTGAGCAAATAAATTATAGAATAAATTCTTAAAATGGTATGTGCATTTTGTAATTTTAATACATACTAACAAATTGCCCTCCAAGGGGTTTGCCAGCTTCCACTCCCACTAGCAGGATGTGAAAGCCTCTGTTTCCTCACACTATTGGCAACACGGCAGATTATCAAAGGGTTAGCTTTTTGCCAATCTGAAAGCTGAAGGAACCTCAGTTTTAATTGGTGTTTATCTTGTGATGTTGAGCATCTTGCTATGTGTTTAAGAACCACGTATTTCATTTTTTCTGAATAGTCTATTCATACCCGTTCCTATCCTTCTCGGTCCACCTTTTCCCCCTCCCCGAACAGTCCTCAAGACTTCTGACCTCTAAACGCACCAGCCTCCTTGAAATCGCAAGTTATAAAAATTCAACTCAGGTGTTTCAGCGTTAAGAATGGACTTGACTGGCTCACATACACCTGAAAAGTCCATGGCGTGAATCCAAAGCTGGGTCTGGATCCAGGTGTTTGACCAATGTCACCAGGAACCTCCCTGTGTCCTGGGTCTGCTTCATTCTCAGGCAGGGTCCCCCACTCTCAGAGCGGCAAAGATGGTGCCCAGAAGCTCCAGGCTTCCTGGGCCATTAGCGCCGCCATCTCAGCAAAGGGGGAGCAGCCTTTCCTGTACAGTGTGTGGAGGAGGGGGAGGAAGTCCTAGGTAAAGCTCTCATTGGTCGATGTGGGGTCACGTGCCCATCCCTGGACCAATCATCATGGATTCTTATTGGCTGCGCCAGGGTCTAGGACCCACCCTTAGACCTGGGAGTAGGAGTAGGGTTAGTCCCACTGAACCACAAGGACTAGAAATGGGGAAGAAGTGGATTTTAAGGAAGGAGAGGATGCTGGAGAAGTTAAAACCACAGAGGCACATAGTTAACACCCCAACCCTAACTAGCCTACTCCCACTTACATTTCTGACTCAGGAAAACACTATGGGTCACCCTCCCTTGGATGACATTTAAACGGCTGGGTGCCATCTTGGGATAGCATGGGGAAAGGTCAGATTCATGAGTAGCACTCCTCTTGGGAGTCTCGGTTAATCATGAAGTGGATCCTGACCCTCTTTCCTCTTTTCTCCAGCTGGATCCTGAACTTCTCCCGTGAAACAATGGAAATCTATTTCAAAGATAGCTTGGAACAAAAGGTAAACAAAAGGATAAGCAGATCTGTAGTTAACACAAGGATCATTGGCATGTACGTATTTGAGATTTGGAAACAGCCTGGTCTCTTAAGTACCGTTGTCACTGAATTTGCTTAGCAAATTCATTCGTGTTGCAAGGGCAAACTTCAAGGCTTTCCCCAGTTTGTAGGACCACGTATGCTAAATTGGCATTTGGAACTGACAAAGTGTTCAGTATCTAGTTGTAGATAATATTAGGGAGATATGGAGAAGTGACTTTGGATCCCTCCCTCACACCATACACAAAAATCTACTCCAGGTGGTCTAAGGATTTAAATGCCAAAACAAATCTAAAACTTTTTAGGAGAAAACCTAGGATATCTTTGTCACCTTGAGGAGAGGAAAATGTTTCTTAAATCAGACTACCTCCTCCCCTCAAAAAATGCACCATATTGCGAGCAGCAGTGGGGTTGGCGCTTAGTATCTCTCACCTCTGGAAAAACCTTGGTCTTCGAAGCAAAAAGATGCCTTTTCCATTTATCCTCTGTGTATCTATCTTTGGGCAAGTTGATAGATCCCCCCTGGAGCCTCAGTCTCCTCATTTGTAAAATGGGTACAATGACCCCTTCCTTGAAGGGGGTTGGCGAGGATTTGATTAGATAACTACACAGAGTGCCTGGCCCACAGGGTGTGTTTAGAGCACTCACCATTATTACTGTTTCAGAGTCATTTCCCAACTGGGTTTCACCTCCTTGAATCTTCACTGTTGAGTGCATGAGCTCTGCAGTCAGACACTTTAGGTTTAAACCCCAGTTCTGACACTTTGCTGGCTGTGAGGCCTTAGTTAACTGGCTTAACCTCTCTGGGCTTAGGATTCTTGTCTATAAAATAGGAATAATCATAGTATCTGCCTTGCAGGGCTGTTGTGAGGACCATATGACATATACATATATGTCATGGTGCATGTGACATATGGTGTATAGACCATATGTCATATATACATATGTGTATACATACATGTATACATATTAGTCGTATATATGTCATATACATATACTAGTGCCTGGTAGAGAAGAAGAGCTGGGCAAATGGGACGAGGTTATTTTCATCGCCATTTATGCTCCAATAGCCCTGTGCAGCAGGCTGAGGCCAGAGGCAAGTTGTGGTCTCTGCCCTACAAATATAGCAGGCATGGGCCAGAAAAATCTGGATACCATGTGTCCAGGAGGGAATGGGGGAGATGCCAGAGAGGCTGAGCCCAAGGAAAGGGCAGTTTCGGAGGATGTGGTCAATGACTTCAGCCTCCACGGGGCTGTGAGTGCAAAGCCCCAGGTGGCTCTGCAGAAACAGGACCTCTGACCGAGGGACTTGGGGTGGACGGATTCAGGCCCCAGAAGGGCTGGCTGCCTGGGTAGCGCACTGCCCTTACCCTGGGCTCCAGGACAGGCCAGGTCAGGCCCACTTGACCCAGGCTGCCTTGGAGTTTGCACAAAACAATGGTTCCCAAAGTGGGAAACTTCCCCCAAAAGGAGAGTTGATTTTAAGTGATGTGAAGCCTCAGTATTAAACTATGCAGGATGATCGAATGAACAGGTGATTCCCCTTGCTGTCCTTTTTCTCCGTCTTCTTATGTCAAAGGGGAAGCACAATTTGGGGCTAAGGTGCCCTGAACACTTTTCTTTAACAGAAAAGGGGCATTATCTAAGTAGGCAATGGTGTCTAGCCAGACTTCCAGAACATTTTTCCAATTCCTTGTATTCTTTTTCCCACTTATATTCTGTTTATGCTGAGGGATACCAGTTTTCCAAAGAGTGATATAAAGTTTCTGTATTTTTTGTTAAACGTATGTAATTTTTAAAAGGCCACTTGGCGTAAAAAAAAATATTAAATAGCTTAATAGGTGAGAAAGGCAAAGTCATAGAGATGGTGTAGGAATAGCTGAAGTTAGGAAATCATGAGACTGGGGGCTTCTAGGATCTCCCCAGCTGACATTCTTGATTTACGGAGGACTAGGCTGCTGGCCGACTGAGGAATGGAATTCTCCTGGGAACCCTCCTTCTGGCTTTGCTTGGGGGCCCTCTGGTGGCCCTAGTCAGTACTGCCTGCAGGCCAGGTACCATGCTCTTTACAGATCCCTTATTCCCAGATGCCAAGTAACCCGAGTAGGAAGAGGAGGCAAAGGGGCTGGGGATGGGTGGTGGAGCCTCTGATTCAAGCCCTGCCTCCTGCACCTGATGCTCTTCTGCTTGTCCCCTCTGCTCTCTAATAAATACATTATGTACTGCACTACTTGCCACTTAGCCACGGAGACATTGAACTGAGGACCACGACAACAGCAGATCCCAGGGCCGTGCTGACTTGACCACCATCCACTTTTAATGTAGGTTCCACAAAAGTCTAGGAACTTAAGCTGGGTCTCCCTGTGTGAGAGGCCAGCCCAAATGGGGCCGTGTCCAAGTGTGTGTGTTGATGGGTAGTGGTCTCTTCTCCCTTTTCCCCATACTCTCCCTCCCCTCACACACCTACCTGTGGGGTGGGGATATAACCCAGGTTCCCGGAGTGGTGGTGGGGAAGCGGGTGGGGGCATTGCCAAGGAGAGAGGTGGAGGACTCACCTGGCTTTCTCACCCACATTCAGCAGATCTGCGAAATCGTCAGGACGTCAACAGCCTCACACCTGGAGCCCTATCTCCGGACTCTGCCAGGTTTGGAGCCCCTCTCACTCCTCTGGGTGCAGAAAGATGCCCTGGTACCCAGGACCCCTGGAACCATCACCATCATCTCCCGAGAGCCCTGGGAGAGTTTCGCCATCAAGTATCTCTCCATCCTACAGAGCTGGATATGGGGTGACCACCTCTCTTGGGGTCTGTTCTCTGGAGGTGGCGGAGTAAGGCCATCGAGGGTGGTGACTCAGAAACCCGCTGGGAGCACGAGCCGGGCAGAGGGTTACAGATACGTGGGAGGATCACGTGTTGGCTCTGTACTGGCTGCTTGAACAACACAGGGGTGCTCTGAGCTCCCGTGTAGGCTGGGGCCCTCCCGGCCCGCCCCTCTGGCTGCCACGGGAACCTTTCACAATCACACGTCAGGTCAGGTCTCCCCCTCTTGAAGTCCATCAAAGACTCCTCGGACTCTCAGAATACTGAGCCCAGCTGCGGGTGCCAAGGCCTTGCATGGCCTGGCCCTGACCACCACACCACACCACTGTCCCCAGCTTCATCTTGCTCAGGGCGACTCGGCCAGCCACTCTGGTCCCTATTAGTTCCTCTAATACGCCGCGCTCCTCACTGCTGCAAGATCTTTGCACATGTCGTTCCCTCTGCCGGGAATGTCCTTCCCCCACATCCAACCCCCTTCACCCAGTCAACACCTCCTCCTCCTTCAGATCTCAGCCCAGGCAACACCTCCTCTGGCTCCCTGTCCTCATCAAGTTGCCGCCCCTCACTTTACCCCTGTTTTATGGCTGGCATCATCCTATGGACTTATGCTACCTAACAGAGTTGCAATTTATCTGCTCAAGTATTTGATTGTCTTTTTCCCCTCTGGATTGTCAGCTCCATGAGGACAGGCACTTTGACTATCTCACTCAGCTGTTTTATTAGCCTCTTGCATTGCACCTGGCATATAGCAGGTGCTCAATAAATATTGAATGGATGAATGAATGAGTGAACAAATGAATGAATGAGTGAATAAACTCTTTTTGTGACTGAAGGTACCATGGATCAGCCCCAGCCCTATTTCCATACTCCAAAGGTTACATTCCATGTGAAAGGAGCTCCCTGGAGTTGTGCAGTGCACAACTCACACAACTGTGTTTGGCTACCCTGTTCATAATGCTGTCTCTTTCCTGTTCCGTAGTCACCTGGATGATTGATCAGGTTGCTGGCATTGACTACAGTCTAGTAGGAGCTCCCCAGGTGACCTCCCAATGCCTGGACACTCCCTTCAAGGTAAGGGGCTGTGGAGAAAGGGCCTTAGAGCTGAAGGCTGGCAGAAATTCAGTTCTACCTGCCATAGTTGGCTTCTACCCTCTTTCTCCAGTCCATCTGCCTGTCAGTCCACATCCCTGGCCAGTGCCCACAGGGGAAAGTTGTGGTGCTTGGCACTGCAGAGCGACACCTAAGACAGGGTCTCTGAGACAACAAGGTAAATCTGTCTGGAGCCCAGAAGCCCTGAGCTCAAATCCTGGCTCTACCGCTTATGTGCTGGGGAACCTTGGGAGAATTACTTAACCCCTCTGAGCCTCTATTGAATTGGAATGATAATAGTCTTACCCTACAAAGTTTCTAAAGGAATTGAGATGTGTATAAAGTGCTTAGCAGATGCCTGGCACACAGCACACATATAAGGCAGCACTATTATTACTACCCGTCTCACCCCTATAGTTGACTGAAGAATGGCTCCCTAAAATGTCCATGTCCTAATCCTAGGAATCTGTAAATGTTACCTTATAAGGCAAAAGGGACTTTGCAAGTATGATTCAATTAAGGATCCTGAGATGGCGGGATTATCCGGCTGGGCCCGTTGTAATTATAGGGATTCTTATAAGAGGGATGCAGGAGATAAGAGACAGAAGGCAGTGTGACCATGGAAGCAAGAGGCTGGAGCGAAGCAAGAGGTGAGGGTGACGTGGGGGAGGGACCACAAGACAAGGAACACAGATGGCCCCAGAAGGTGGAAAAGGGAGGGAAGTAGATTAGCCCTTGAAGCCTCCAGAAGGAGCGCAGGCCAACGACCTTGAGTTTAGGCTTCTGACCTCCAGAAACGGAAAGGACACACATAAATCTATGCTGTTTTAAGCCACTAAGATTATGGTAATTCGTTACAGCAGCAATAGGAAACCAATACACCTCGTCTTGATTCCTGTCCTGTCCACAGCCTTCCTGTGGGTTAAGCCAGGCCCTGGAGTGCTACTTTCCTCCAATTTTATTTATTTAACTAATGCTTATATGCTCTTACTATGTGCCAGATGCTGTTCTGAGTATTTGTACAGATATTAACTTATTTAAATTTCATACCTCCTCTATGAAGTAGAAACTATTAGCATCATTCCCATTTTACATGTGAGAAAATTGAGGCACAAGGAAGTTGGTGATTTGCCCAAGGTCCTAGAGCTAGTAAGTGGCAGACTAGGATTCAAATCCATACAGTTAAGCTCCAGAGTCCATGCTTTTCACCACCAGGCTGGGCTTCCTCTCCTGCGTCCTGAGCCTGGGAGAATACAGGACAGACCTCCCCATCCAAAGGGACCATTCTGTAATAGGGGGATTTCAGGCAGCTGTCAGGGCCTAGATGTTGTGGGGCCAGAAGGAATCTTTCAGGATCCCTGGCCCCACGTTCTGAAGAAGAACTGCCAATCCAGCCAGCACCCAGCGCATAGGAGACCTCTCCCAGGCAGGCTTTGGAGGCCTCTGCCTGACACCGTCTCTGGTAGGAACCTTAGGTGGCTGATATGTCCTTCTGTCTCCAGGGTGAATTCTTTGGCCGACGCTGGCACTCCCCAGTCCCCTTCAATGCTCCGCCCGTTAGGCTGCCCCAGGAACATGACGGCATGATCTACCTTGCAGTATCTGAATATGTCTTCAACACGGCCAGTAGGGTTTACCACCAGGCTGGGCGCATGAAGTTCATCATCCAAAATGAGTATGTGAGTCGGGGAGGGGAGGAGGCTGGGAGTCGCTGGAGAGAGCGTCAAGTGGGACTGTAGACCCCCTGTGGGTGTTCTAAGGAGCCGGGGGAAGAATGTGGAATTTGGAGCCTGCCAAAGATGGGTTCAAATCCAGGCTGTGCCTCAGTTTCCCTGTCTGTGCATGTAGACCCCAATCATGCCTATTCCCCAGGGATTATATGAGAGATTATAAAGAGCTTGGTGTCTGACACATAATATGTATTAGCTATTATTAACAGTACTTTAAAAAATAAGACAGACTCTGGTGTCTGGTCATATCAGGTCCTCTGAGAAGCGGATGCCAAGACGGCATTAGACTCGTAAGAGATTTGCTAGGACACCTGTGAAGGGTGAAGGAGAGAGGGAGGAGTAGGTGGGGAGAGCCCTCAGACTGCGATGCAGTACTGATACCTGTGAAGGGAGAGCAGGCGGGAAGGCAGATTGCATTGAAGTGCTGCTGCATAGCTCTGAGAAAGTCTCAGCCAAGCTGATGGGGAGCCACAGAGCAAAGCTGGCTTATTAGAGGAGGGCCATATCAGGCAGAAATTTGAGGAGTCCAGCTCCAGGCTAAAAGCCTGTGTGTGATCTTTCAGACCCGACCACGAGCAATTACACAGGCTTTCCCTGGTGGTCTCGCCAGACCAGACCCGGTGCATGGCTGGCGCTTGTCAGCCTCTGGAGGGAGCTGCAGTGAAGGACTCAAGCCCCGCCCTCACCCCGGGCTGGCCGTGCTCTTCTGCATATCTGCATTCCTGGACTAGACCCCTCCGTTCAGAGGCCTCCGTATGGATGGGAGGAGAGGGAGAACCTCAGCTGAGACGTGTTCAGGTGCCTCTGCTGAGACCCCTCACTGGAGACCATGATGACAGTTTTCTCCAGGCTGACTTGGTACTCAGTGCTTTTCTACTCCGGGCCCCTCCCCTTCTCCTCCCCCTCCTCCCCCTGGGTCCATAAAACAGCAGGAGCCTTTTGTTAGAGCTCCCTTGGCAATAAGATGATCCTCCATCTGCTGCTGATACATCTGACCCTCGCAGGTGCCATGCCCCCGGGAAAAATGGGACACTGAGGGGGGCGGTGCCCTTTCCAGTTGAGCTTCTTGCTTACACCATGGCAGTAAGTGAATAAAGGCTTAATCGTGACTTTCAGTTTGGCTCATTGTCTTAACTGACCACCTGGAATCCCAGCAGTGATCTGACCAACTTGTCCAGGTTTACCGCCCCTGCCACGCTCGGTCGGGGGCTGGGGGCTGTCATCGTGAATGGGGTGGGGCCCGAATGGGAGGCAGCAGGGGGCTGTCAGCCAACTGCCCTCCTCGAAGCTGATCCCCTTGAAGGGAGGTCTGAGCAGCGCCCCTCCGCAGCTGAGCACTATGCCAAGTGCTATAGGAGCAGCCCAGGTAGAGTGGGGATCTTGAGGAGGAGAGATCAAGGAAGGTGGGCTCTGGACAGATGTAGGCAGCATCCACCATCTGAAAGATCAGCAAGTAATAGGGCTGGGTGGAGAATGGCACCATAAGAGATTGCTAGAAAGGGAGTTTTGGGGAGCCATCTCTGGAGGCACATTAAATCCAGACTGTGGTGGCTCTCGGCTCTTGTTGGCCCTTTGTGGGAGCATCTTGAGAAATAATAAATAACAATAATGGACATTTAAGTCCTTACCATGTTCCAGGCACTGCACTTGGTGCTTGACCCATGTATCTCATTTAATCCTCTCACGCCCTAGACGATAAGTGCTATTATTATCATCCCCATTTTACAGATGAAGAGCCTAGCAAAGCTTGCCAACCATCAGTCAGCTAAAAGATGGCGGAAGGAGTATTTGAACTCAAGCTGTCAGACCTCAGAGTCCACATCCCTGACTACTGCAGTGTCCTGCTTCACAAGTGGCTTCCTACTTCTTCTGCTGCAGATCCCCCTGGACTCTGCGATCTCCCTGAACACCCACTCACTCTGGGCCGTGATTCCCCAGGTAAGCCTCTGCCCACTTACCACAAAGGACAAGACAAGCCCCTTGGCCTCGGCCACGTGTGGAGATGGTATTTGGACATGGATGAGCTGGGCATCAACTTTCTCCAGACAAACAGCTTACCTGTTAGAGCAGTGGGTAAAGATAAAAATTACTAAATTAACTTTTTTGTACAAAATTCCCATCACTTCTGACTCCTTGTGGCATAACGACGCAGGATCTGGAATCAGATTGCCTGGGTTTGAATCCGGGGTCTTCTGTTTTCTCTCTTGGGAACTCGATCCTGTTGGGCCTCAGTTTCCTCATTTGTCATATGAATAGTAGTACATATGGGTTGCTGGGAGGATCAAATGGGAGAACAAAACTCAACCAGCACAAATACACAGGTTCCTTCCAGGACACAAACGGGGGCACGTTGGGCAGGCTCCTAATTCGGGGCTAGGCCAACAATCGATATTGGTGTGATGTCTGTGTAGAGCATATCTGAGAAGTGGTGGGAGCAGAGTGGAGAAGAGCACTCAGCCTCCCCTCTCTTCAACCAGGACATTCAGCTCCGGCCTCAAACTTGCACGCTAGTCAGCACAAGCTGGACTGCATAGAAGGCATTGTGGTGACCATCCACTGTTATTGGAGCATGCCCATTGGGGTGTCTCACCCATCCCCTTTATCACTTTATCAAAGTGCCCTTTCCAACCACAACAACTGTCTATTAAAATCCTGTGATTGCTCCACTGCTGGTTTAGGGACCTTGGAGATTTGCGCCTTGGAGCGCTGCCCATCTGGCACCCCCAGTATAGCTCAGGGTCCCTCTGCCTGTCTCCTGCCCTCCCTTGAGTCTTTGCCCTCTTTCTCCAGCTGGCCAAGTTCTACCCCAACATGGAGCTAGAGCTTGAGATATCGTCTGAATCAGCTCCATTCCTGATGTTCACCCCTGGGAATGTGACCCTCACGCCCGTGATGGACATCCAGGCCTTCGCCCTCCCGCCCAACTCCTCTGACCGCAAGCCACTCTTCCAGCTCAGGGCAGTAAGTCTGATCCTGGCCAGGGCAGCAAAGGGCCGTGCTTGCCATGGGTGTAAGCCCCTCTCTCTGCTCACCTTCAGCTGAAGAACTGGGAGACTACACAGCTGATAGATGCTGGAGGCTATTTATTTCCACGGTATGAGTGGGCCTTGCATTCCTGGTCTGAACAGCCAGGCTTCCCAAGGGCACAGTTAATCAAATCATATACTGTCAGAGTTGCCAGGAACCTTAAAAGTCATTTGCTCCAGCTGAGTTGGAAGATTTTAGCTTTCTCACTGTTATGTTTGCTATAAAAATTTGTTTAATATAAAGCATAACCCTACTTAAATTGTTTTAAATAAAAATCATCAAATTACCTTTTTATTTTTTATTTTATTTTATTTTATTTGTGAGGAAGATCAGCCCTGAGCTAACATCC